ACATTGCACAATTTCAATTTATATTAGTAATATTTTGTTTTATATTTATCACCCCGTCATTATGTATAAAATATAGTATACTACTTCCTCCGTCCCAAAAACATTGTCTACATTGAGTTTTGAGTTTTGTACTGTTTTTACTACAAATTTGCAAACTTAATGTGGACTATTTTTTTTTGGACGGAGATAGTATCTTTTAGGGAAATCAAATAAAGAAATATTACTATAGAGATGTCGTATAAAGCACTAATTATCTTGGGACAGAGTGAGTACAAATTTAACATTGGATAAGCATCATCATTTTTGGAGATGGGGTATTATAAAGATGTAAATCAAATTATCAACAAATCCGATCCCCCTCTTCACAAAAAAAATTAAAAAAAATAAAAAATTCAAGTTACAAATCCGATCCCATCGCCAAAATGACCAAATTACCCCCGAATAGAAGGAGTCCAGGACTTGGAGTCCGGTAGTATTACCTTTGGTGAAGGAGATTGGACTGGATAGTTATGTCTTTTTAGTAGTTTATAAGAGTCAAGGTGAAACTCGAACGGGATAAAAAACTGTCAAGAATTTAACGATAAAAAAAAAACCCAAGTCAAAAATTAGTCTCTTCTTCGCCCAAACTCCTCCGAAATGGCGTGAAACAGCACCCCCACCACTCATGCTCCATTTTCAAACCGCCCAAACTTCCACCACCTTTTAATCCCACGCGTTGACAACAGACCATTTGAATTATTTGAAGGGGAAAAGGAGAACACGGGGAGCTTTGAGAAAGAAAAGGAACAGAGAGCTTATAGCTATCAATTTGGGGATTCAATTCAAAGAGGGAACATAGTTTAAATCTTCCGTTCATTGAGGTAATATGTTAATCTCCTTCTAGTGAGTTAAATTCGAAATTCTTAGATTAAATGGTAAAAAGAATTCTGGAAGAGTAGCTCTTCTTTTGCTTCTATCTTCATTAATTTTTTCGATTGCATGTGGAACCCTTGCCTGATTAAGTGGTTTTGTTAAAAAAAAAACAAAAAGAATAAGATGATAGAATAGGGAGTCTGCATGCTAAACTTCCTCCTTGATTCTTAGTTGGTATTAGTTTTCAATTCGAAAAAAAAAAGGGAAGAGAAAGGGGTCGTAGGTTCAGGGAGGCAAAGGCTCATGTCACTATTATACACTTTTAAAGAGGATAATGAGGTTTCATAATCTCCTTGTGCCGTATGCATGATTATGTTCAGAAAACTACTTAATTGAACCCCCATAATGCTGGCTGAACTTAGGAAAAGGCAGGAACTAGCTTTTGAAAGTGATTTTGCTCCATCTTAGCTTTTCTGGACCTTTAGAGATTGGATAAGCTTAAAATTTAGTTGAGTAGGTCTATGTTTGTCTAATTTTGTAGCTAAACTAATTACTTTCACATCATCACATTAATCTGACCTTTTAGACTTGTAGCAGCAATAAGAGGGAACCTTATAATCTGAGTTTACAGAGCTATAGTGGAATAACAGGGAGCCTTATAATTTGAGATACTAATTTGAGGCTATAGATTGCCGAAAAATTGGATTTGAATTTGACAGACCGAATCTGAAATTTTTAACTTTACTGAAGCTTTAACATCCTGTTTTGTGAAGCATATTCCTCTTGATGTTTGAACATGTTTTTTTTTAAATCACTACTGGAAATTCATCTTAGATTTTTTTTTGCCCCTTTTGTTTGTCAATGATAGGTCAACATGAAGTCTGTTACGCTGAATGAGCATTCTGCAATGTTAAATGGTTTCGTTGTTGGACTTGATGTTAGACAATTTTTACATGGGAGTGGCTTTGCGAACCTCCTCAAATTGGTAAATCATCAGTTTTTTCATTGTAAACCCTTAATTTCTGTTTTGGTTGATTGTTATGATATGAAAACATTTACCTTTAGGTTAGGGGATAGCTCTTGTGAATTATATTTTGGTTTAAGAGATATTTTATACATTACTGGTTTGAGGATAGTGGGTAAAACTGTAGTGACAATAGAAGCACGTGGAGAAGATATTGCGAAAATTCTATTTCCTAACATAGAAGGGAGGGTTTTGTGTTGGAAAAGTTAAAAGAACTTGCTATGAGTGATTAACCTTTTATAATTAGAGTAAGGACTACAGTTTTACTTTTGTTGGGAACTCTTATTTTCCCGAACTCTAGCCCAAAACATGTAAAAGGGTTGTATGGAAATTTTTGATAAACCTTGATGAGATAAATGATTATGCTTGGGGAGAAGCGTGTCTTGTGGAAATACATCAGAGTTTGCAGGTTTGTAAAGAAACAAGTCAACAAAGAATTGGTGGGTCGATGTCGGCGCTGACTGTATATATTATTATTATTATTATTATTATTATTATTATTATTGGATTGATGATTATCATGTTGTATTTCATAATCTTTATTAACTTCTAGTTTTCTTTTTGGCATTTATTATTCTTTTAGGTTTTTGCTTTGGAACATTTACCCAGTTTGAGGAATTTGTTCGATTTACGTGAACACCCGAAAGAATTTCTATTGATTATTGGATGGGCTGAAATATTATGGAAAACGATGCACAAAACTCGCAGTGACATTACAACAGAACTTATCCAACAATGTATCAATGGGTTAACTGCTGTAAGTTTTGTTCACCGTATTACTTCCATTTTGTGTAGTTTTCTAATACATGGTAGTTTGTTTTCTCAATATTGTTTCCCCTAAAGTTATTATCAGTATATTAGATGCTGCTTTCTCCTACCACATTTATTCCTCGAATATTTGTTGTTTAAGTTTCTTTCTAGTAGACTACTTTTATTTGAAAAGTTGTTTCATTCATAATAGCTATTATTTAATTTTTGTAGGAGAATATTGTTTGGATGCCCTATTCAAGTCCTATGCCATGCTATTTCAAGTATCAAATGCGTAGGGAACTAGCCGTTGTCCCTTTGTTCTGTATTGAAAACCACATGTATCATCTCCTATACAATGGAAAGGTTCAACTTCATATTGATGAAAATGTGAGTAGGGATATGAAAATTCTATATCAAACCCGAGTGAAGAGTTCATATAGAAAATTTGTTCGTGCTCCGGCTCCAAGAGGTAATAGGAGAAAAGATTATTTTAAAATTTGGAGACAAAAATTGGGAAATGATGTATTTGATCAGCGAATGCAAATAAATGACCAAAAGTGGATTAGAGTTGATGATGAGGATGTGATGGAGAATAATGTATCAGGTTTTGAGACTCATAGGGATGTGCATGGAATGAATAACTGGGAAAAACTTGCTTTGATGCCCGCTGATTTGGCTAGAGATGTTGAGAAACAGTTTCAAAAGAAGTTATTGATTCTTGATTTGAATGGAGTTCTCGTTGATGTGGTGCATAAACAAAGTGTTCTGGGCCTAAATTTGCATACAGAATGTGACTATATAATGATGCATTCTTATGGTAAGATTATTCTACTTTGTGTAATTGAATATCATATCTAACTCAAAACAATTTTGCTTACTTATCTACTATATTTTTCATTTCAGTTTTCAAGAGAAAATACAGTGATGAATTCCTTAAATTTTGCTTCAAACGATTTCATGTTGCCATATGGTCATCAAGAAAGTGGTATGATTTAAAAGTATACTTGTTTTTTATATCCATGTAAACTCAATGTCTCAAAACTTTGATTTTCTACTACTTTGTTTGCAGGGAAAATCTAGATTCTATTTTGCAAAATCTGTTCCCAAGTGCTCGTGATAGATTCATTTGTAGATATGTAAGTTTGTATTATTGAGAAAGTTTTTCATTTTACACAAGTTTTAAAATAGGAAGTTTAAATAAATTATTCATTAAAAAACGTGTATGTGGTGAAGAGCACGTATTCGTAGATTAGAATAATTTTATACTAGCCTCACTTTTTCTTCATAGTTCTGAATGGTTACGTTTTTTATTGTCTACAGAGTCAAGAACAATGTCGTAAAGTAAAACAAGTTTTTTGTAAAGATTTGACTCGTATGTGGGTAGATTTACGGGCAATGAAATTTGGGGAATTTGATGAGAGCAATACTTTACTTGTAGATGATTCCGTCGAAAAAAGCGTGAGAAATCTTGTAGGTATTTTTTTCTTTTTACTATCTAACCTATTTTTTTCCGTGTAACTATTATTTTTAACACGTCGTGTTTCTTTATGATATTTTACAGGCTAGCAATGTAATACATCCAATTACATTTACTTATATAGACAAGGAATTTGATAAATGTTTAGGTGAGATGTATAAAGTTTTATAACTTGTTTCTTTGTGATTATTTATTTAATAATATTTTCATACAATTCCAATTTTAAACAGCTATACACGGCAATTTATGCTCATATCTGAACCAAGTAGCTAAGGCAGAAGATGTTGTAACATTTGTGCGTGAAAATCCATTTGTCGAGGAACCACAGTGGCAGGTTTGTTATGTGAATCTTTTGTTGCCATCATACTCATCCAACACTCTATGTGATGCAGGGTAGTTACAGTGCCTTGTAATATATGTGTTCATTTATTCTTATTCCTCATTTATTATATTTGCTTTGCAGCAAAAGAAAATGAGAATCGGAAATTGAATGCATTGAAATGGAGTTTGACTAACCTGTGCTGAAGATTCCTTCGAGCTTCAGTTAGGTTTGAGGTATTGAAACTGACTCTTTTAATTCTCGGATGGCTTTTGATTTATATCCAGGCTGAATTTAATTGTCTGAGAAAATGATGTAGGTTGTGCTATTACCTTGAACTACCATGTCTGCATATAACTCGGGGATCTGAGTTTTTCTGGTTTATAGGATAAGTATTGGATTGTAAAGTGCCAATACATTTCAAGTTCTCTTCTGATTACTTTTTCTCACTCTTTGTTAATGTTTTGATTTTTGAAGATTCATCAAAATATTTGATGAATCGGAGCATAAGCGACTCGCAATCGAAAATGGCTTGAAGAAAGCAGAGTTAAGGTTTGAGAAAGAGTGAGAGGGGTAAAATGGTTGAAGAGGTAAACAGGAAAGTTGAGGAGATTGAGAAGTTAAGACTTGCAGGGAAGCAGACTGCTCAAAAGTTGTCCAGAGCTGAGGAGTTGATCAAACTTCTGAGAAGGGATCTTGATTTTGATGGAAGAAAAGCATGATTTTTTTTGCTGAAAGAACGCGATAAATCAGAACTCAAGAGGTTAGCTATTGAACAGGACTTGAAGGACTCAGAGAGGAGGTTTGAAACTATGGTGAAGGAAGCTGAGAATGAGAAGAAACGTGAGAGGGATAAACTGCTGGAGGAGTTTAGAGAAAAAATATGAGGAGATTGAGAAGTTAGGACTTGGAGTGAAGCAAAGGAGGCAAAAGTTGACTACTGCTGAGGAGTTGTTCTGTTGTTCAAACTTCTTTATAGCATTTTGCGTAGAGAAGGGACAACGATTCACACGTTGGAGGAGAGCATATCGGATATAGATGATGTGGATGTTAAGAATCTAAGGGAGGGCATCCGCTATGAGTATGTTAAAGAGGAGGTTGAGAAGATTTTCCAGATGCATAGTAGTGCTGCAGTTGGTAGCTTTGCTAAAGGAGTTTTGTATGATGTCGTGCTCGATTCTGGTTTTGGTGGTGAAAGAACGTGAAGGCATTTTCTATTGGCTGCAATGAGGTAGTTGTTTTGCCGAGGACAGCCTCTCCTCAAATGGATTTTCCCTTTGAAGGTAGGTCATGATTTGTATTTTATTAGCATTTTTGGTGGGGTGCTGCAGAACTTAATATGTTTCACCTTATCTGCAAGACATGATATTGCCATATACACAGAAGAGATTTCTCTATTCAAAAATTTGAATTATGTTTTTTTTTCCTCTCCTAGTTTTTTTTTTTTTAACTGTTATGCACTCATTTCAGGCTGTACCTCTCCAAATGTTAGTTGTACTGATGAAATTGGCGGTGCCTCGGAGCTAGATGTTGAAGAGAGGAGTTCCAGTGAGCCAGCTGCATCACTTGTTCCAGTTACTAGAAAACCTTCAATCTCCAATTATCATTTATATCCGTGATTTTGAGGCTGAAAGAGTTGTAGCTCAGAAACGAAAGATGATTGATTTCGGAGGAGTGCATGATGTTGATGATGGTGATGATGGCTCCTCAAGTGGAAGTGACCTAGGTGGTATGTGTTTTGAGTCTTACATGGCGCATAAGTTGGAGAAGTTTAAAAGATACAAGGAGATAGGGTGGAAGTCGGCAGCTGAAATGCTTTCAGGTTTTCAGAATGATTTTGAACCTTGCATGAATGCCGTTTGTGCTCTCTACCGATATAAAATTTCTTCTAATAAATTCAACACCAGCCCACTGCTTCCAGGAGATTCAGCTATAATGAGGTATGATCATAACTTCATTTTATTCTAAGATGGAATTAGAATTTTCCTTTCCTTAATCAGGTAAATAGTGAAATCGAGGATATATTTGGAATTAATGTCAAACCGTGAGCTTAAAATTCACTCCTAGCTAAAAGGCTAAAACCCTATCTTGTTCAGCTAACGTCCTGAATTTTGTTTCCTATCATTGTCTTAATTAGGAATGTGCTGATGCTTTATTGCTTTCAGTTTGAAGGCTTTGGCTGAGTACTTAACGACGGGCACCCTCAGAACAAGCCAAAAAAAAAATGTTTCAGAAGTGCAACAAGAAGATCGAAGTGTTCTTTTGCGATGTAAGGAACTTGCAATTCACTACATTGATTTACTGTTTGACATATACAATAAAGGAAAGGATTGCCTTTTCCGTCCAGACTTATAAGCTCACTCCATCATCGAAGCCAAGAACTAGTTTGCTGTTGTAGACTGTTAGTTGTACAGAGTGTTAAGATAGCATTAGCAAGACTTCCACAACAATGGCTTGATGAAGGTTCTATGGTTAGATTACTCATTCTTAAGTATTAGGGCAGGGCTAGATGCCGAAAGCCTATCAAGACGGTTGTAGGTCAAGGTTTTCCATTGCAGAAGTTCTTGACGCCTAGGATTTTCTGAAATAGAAACCTTTCCATCTTAGATATAAATAGTTCAGTTTTTCTACTGAAATCGAGCATCAGGATCCTGGAAGCTAAACCTTTCTTCAAAGCAGACACTTGATTTTTCTTTACACTAGACATGGTCTCTCATCCTTAGCTTAGGTACATTTGAATTGCATTGCAGAAGGTGGTGCTGTATAATATTCATATATCCTTTTACTCAAGTTCTTTTTGCGCTATCAATTTTTAAAGTAGCAGTTTAAGACTTCCGGTTTGATCATAGGCCTGGAATTTTCGGTTTCATGTATTCATTTTCCGGTTTTTCTCTATCAGTAATCAGTTGCTATGTTGTGTTGTCCAGTAAATAATAGACACTGTCTAATTTCGTGTATGGAACTGTGATATTCTTTACCTTAACTTGTGGTCGACTAATTTATTGACAAAAACCGGGCAATTTTCGACAACATTAGTGCCACGAAAAGTGTGACAAAAACATACTCAACGAGTCATCAAAATCTAAAACATACTCACTTGTGATTACTAAAACATACTCTGATTACTAAATATTTTGTCAAATGTCAATTTATGCCTATTATCTTCGTTTATATATTTTAAATGATCTTCACCGTACTTTGTATGGGCAACCTCTTCATTATGAGGTAGTTGATTTTTATTTTATTTTGTTTTGTTTTGTTTTAACCATTTATTTTGAGTGGTATTTAATCTTCGGGCATGATTGTAATTTTAATTCTTTTTCTTTTTTTTTTTGTTAACCTTACTGGCTAATTAATTAGAATTGAAAAAACTCATGTAACACAAAAGCAAATTAAAGGAAAGAGTAAAGAAATGTATTTTTTCCTTTTTTGACCTTTTAAATTGGATTTAAATAAAAAAAAACCTCCAAGTAAAAGCTTTATATTACTACATATAGACTATGATTTTTTTTTCTTTTTTAATAATGTAATCATATGACACCAAGAAATCAAATACATTTAAGTTGCTCAAATGATTTTTTTTGTGAATGCTAAAAAACCTTGTCAATTTTGGGTTAACTAGAAGGTATATTCTTTTTCACTTTGAACCAGAAACGGATCTGCAATAGTATCATGTAACACTTATAATTTTTTTTAAAAAAACAAAGTAAATTTGGAATAACTTGAAAATTTGAAGAAATTAATATTGATAAATCCTATTTTATAAATAATTTACTTAAAACTAATTTTGTTGTATACCAATGAACATTGATCATAGTAGAAAAATTTAGAGTAGTAAGTTAAAAAATTCTTTCATATAAAAGGTTTGTGAGAAGATTGAAGTAAATGTTAAAACAACTTGAAAGTTTCGAAGAAAATGGCCATATCACATTGTAATAAGTAATTGGTTTAGTTCTTATTCTTCTTCTTCTTCTTTTTTTTATTTGCATACAATGAACACCTCAAAGGCCCGAGGGACAACTAAGAATAGTAAATAAATTCAATAATTAATTTAAATTATTCTTAAAAACTTTAGAGTAAGGAGCAGTTTATATGTTTAAAAAATGACAAGATTGCAATCCTTATAATTAGTTAGGTGTATTTTGTGATCCATTATATTTTTTATTCGGCGAGGGACATATTTTTAAAATTTTAGACCTAATTATACAAATTTGTAAAATGCATGGTATAATGAATTCCGCAATGGGACGAGATCTTCTACCACACCGAACCACAAGTTGAAAATGAAAAAACGGTATTGATCATGCTTCTCCAAAATATAGATTAGCCAGATATGATTTCACATTCAATATTTGGCTGAACCTCTTCTAATTCCCCAATAACGAGTCAATACTGAAAGAACCCAAACAATAAAACAACAAAAGCTAATTTGGATCAAAATAGTGAGTTCAAGAATCTGCTGCTCCCAGTCGAGAAGAGAACATTAGTAAAAAGTGTCGATTACTCGCACAAATTATATAATGTATACATTAATGCTACATTGATGAGCACAAATTCTGGCAATCCTACCCCCTTATTTCAGTCTTGTCCTCAAGACTATTACAAAATGATACTGGAACAATTGATAACAGTAGCCTAATACCTTATTCCTAACAACAGCTAAACCAGAGACTATCACAGAATGCAACAGTAAACAATAGAAATGAAAACAGGGACAACTACATTGAATGAACTTGAAAGAAAGTCTTCACTGCTTGGCATCAATCCAATCTGAAAACAGCAACTGCAAGTTGAGCTTCCTGGAAACTGAAACAGCCACCAAAGCTTGATCACTGCATCTGAATAGACATTCAGATAGAGTACTTCCCGTTGATATACTTCGCCAAGCAATCATCCAAACAAAAGATGACTGGTCAAGTGATATTAAGTGTGTCCTGTAGCCTTCGACAACTAGGGTACCCCCTCTGAAACACGTAGCCAACTGAACCCAAACCCTCAGTCTCAAAAACATTGTTCCACCTCTAAAAACAGTGGCAACCAATGGCCAGGAAACATATGCCCTATCTGCATTCTCTTGCAACATTCCAGTTCCGTTCAACACAGTTACCAAGCTTCCTTTATCCAACACGGCACCAAATTCAACTTCACGAAGGTCATCAACTAGAGTCGAACTCCATTCATCAACTAACAGCTTAACTCTAGCACTACTTTCATTTTTTGTGGTGCCACCTTTAAAACCAGAAACCAGCTCAGGCCAACATTGAAGTCTTCTTTTAGCAGAAGAGACGTTCCTCCACTAAAACAGGTCGCCAGTTTATCCCATGACCTAATCAGATTTCTCAGTTCAACACTATACATGCTATTAACACTGCCTTCCTTCTCAATCAAATAATCAGAACCATACGGAGGATCTTCTAACAGGCTCCTTGTTTATCAAGAGATGCCACAACAATATCAACAACATTGATATCAACTTCGGAAACCGTTCCACACTTATCAATAACAACTGAACCCAACATCAACCTCACCTTCACTTTCACCATCATTCAATTTCTCACAGGCATAATCTGATTCACATTCACTATTATAACTCTCTTCAACAGTAAAAGTATCAAGAAAAGACATATCATCATCGTATTCTTCAAAATCACCATCTAATATAGCAGAATCATCATCAGAATCTTCATCAAAACTGGGAAATGAATTGTTACCTTGTTCTGTAGGACCCGAGAACAAGGATTCAGAAGAATCGGTAACCAACTCCTCTGTTTCTTGAACGGCGAATTGATGAAAAATTCCTCACAGAAATCGTCCCAAGCCAACTGTTCTTCCTCTCCCATAAGATCTTGATACCAATTGTCACAATCCGGTGACGGAAATGGAGGAATCCGGTGAAGGGAAAGGACGGGACAAGCCCTGAATTGGGGAAAACCCACACAATTCTGAAAATACCAATTTCAATATTCAACTATTTGATAATCATTTTACAGACCCTCAGGACTATATATAGTCCCACCAATTTCTAAAACTACAAACAGGCCCCTATACTATCGACAAGTCCTAACTAGACCCGAGGTCATGACATAGCATGAGTCCAGGACCTGGACTTCAGTATTATAATACATTTACTAAGGGATATTTATGTCTTTTTGGGCAATAAGACATGAGTCCAGGACCTGGACTTCAGTAGTATAATACATTTACTAAGGGATATTTATGTCTATTTGGGCAATAAGACATGAGTCCGGACCTAGACTTCAGTATTATAATACATTTATTTACTAAGTGATATTTATGTCTTTTTGACAGTTGGTATGATGTTTTGTTAAGTCTATAATTTTGAGTTGGCCATCTTTTTTTGAGAAGAATTTTAAGTTGGCCTTTTGTGAAACTATTACGTTTTTTGTTTTTTCTGAAAAAAAAATGTCAAAAAAGACATATGACTTGATCACTTAATATCTCTACAAATTAAGTAAAAAGTTCTATTTTACTTATAATTAAATAGATCAATCACTCATTTTCCTTAATTTTCATTTTGGGTTTACGTCGATGATGAAAAAAATTGTTGTTTAAAGGTTTTACGGAATGTAAACATAGAGCTTAAGTAAATATATGTTAATTTGAAAATCACAATCAAGAAAAAACTATTGAAATAATTACTGTTTAAATGAATTACAAAAAGAGTTAACATGCACTAAAATGTCCTTATGAAATATGGGTAGGATTTGTCGAATTTTTTTCCGCCGGTCACCTTTTAAAATATTCACATTGGATTTTTTTTGTTGTTGAAAATTTTCATTGATCTATGTCATTTAAGATGGCTGAAATATTTATATATTTGATATTCACGTTGAATTTTGGCTATTTGTGTCACTTGTATTGTTTTTTTCGTTTTTGAAAATTTTTATTGATATATGACGTTTAAGATGGTTGAAATATATACTTAAAGAGATATCCGAGCTCAATTGCAAGCATCTACATTATTTAAATGCCTTTTAAACAAAAAATAAAAACAATCATCTTGTTACAAATTTTTTAATATAATCTTTTTGTTGTTACTTACCTTTTATATAAGTGATGAAAGGCTTGTTGGAAGAAACACACATAATATACACATCAAGAAATTTGTCATCTTCAATAAGTACGAGCAGCACCATACACAATGGCTTCAAAAGAAACAACAATATAATATATTAAAGACTAGCGAAGTTTAAAACCAAAAAAAAGGGTATCATTACAAAGCCTTAAATATCAACAATAACCACTAACACATTCTTGTAAAATGTTAATGTCCAAAAAACTCAAATAATCCTTAGAATGTGAAAACACAGAAAATTGCAAATAATTCAAACACTAGTTCCATTTTGATCACTACTCCAAGACATGAACTTCTTGGATGCCCAAATTATGGAACAACCTCTTCCTACAATCATTTTGATCATGGAAAATAATTTTGACTAACAAATCCATTCGATCCAATTCCGAATTCAAGCTAAAAGAGATCCCTTCGTCCATAATAAAGTAAAGCTCCATGAATTTGATCATGTACATTCCACAATTGTACCTGTTTGAAAGAAAAATATATTTGTTCTTTTATTATGATGATCATAATTTCGTAGAGTTTTTCAAACTTACAAAAAAATAAATAGATTTTTAATTAAGAATAGAATAAAACTCACCAATTACGTTGTTTAGGCAACCAATCTGGTACCTCAATTGGAAAAGAGACGATGTTGCCTTTGTATGTGTTGCCAAATCCTATTTCAAGTACATCCTGCAGCACTTTAACCTTTTCATAGAAAAATAATATGTTAGCAAACATGGAGTTGTATGAATGAACAAATATAAGAATTTTGTTTTATTACATATTTGCATACTACAAATTATTACCATTTTACCACCAATGCTTTTCTTTGATCACAAGAAGATGCCATTGAATCTAGCATTGAAACACGCCTTTCCTCGAAATTAATCATACATCCATACCAATGGCGTCCTCCATCATTTATTGGAATGAACATCTGTTATTTGTATACATTCAAATAAAACAAGGAAAAGTAAGTAGAGTATACATTTTTTAATTACCAAATCAAAATGTAAACTCTAATCTTTTCAACTAGAAATTTCGTATTTTAAAAAAAAAGACATGGTACCTTTTCACAGCTATGAATGTCACCACCATAAGTATCTTGCGTCAAATATTTTTTCCATATCTTCTTTAACACCTTATCATCTCTAACATCTGACTTTAATTCCTCCTGCAACAAAAAATTAACAATTATAAATATGTTAACTCGTGTTGCAATTTTAAGAATGAAAAATTCTTTAAATTAATACTGCGATATAGTGTGGCAAAAACCAAACACGGGATTGCCCCTTTCCCCACACGGCATGTTGTTTCAGAGTTTGAATATTGATGAAAATATTTATAACCTACAAAAAAAAAGTCAACTTATTTTAAAATGACTACCAAAATAATTAATAATTTGTTCCTTTTAAATAACAATTACCTCAGAATTCAACCATCCTTCGGGTTTCAATGTGACCAACGAAGCACGAGTCACAGTTTCCATATAAATTTCAGCTAAACACTCGCTACAAGAGAGAATTTTCAGATAACCAATTATGTGTGTAAGACATCATTAAATATAAATTGATATACATGCATACGAAGAACATATAAAACATTGAACTTACAGTGAGTCCCCTTCATTAAACACATATTGAATCAATTTTTGCTGTGGTCTATCAAAGTAACCTGAAATCTCCTGCACAATTATACATAATAAGCAAATACAAATTTTTCATAAATAAAATACTACAACAAAACATTATAGCATACCTTTATGACATCTTGCATATTCACCGTTGGTTCTGCCTCTAAGTTGCCTTCCGCCACCTAGAAATGTCATAGTAACTATCATATTATACTTAAAATTAACAAATATCAAACAATTTACCCGAAGTTCAGGAAATTGACTCCTCGAGTGGCATCCCCTGTTACAGAAGTCACATTTAAGGAGTGCTTGTAGACAATGATCAAAATCATGTCCAAATACATCGTGATATTCACAATACGACGCATTCTCATCAAATGGTTCGGCTTCTTCTAATGGTGAACTAGTTGTGAAGATGACCTAAAAGAATAAATTATTATGAGTACTATATCATTACCAAATATGATACGTAACAACAAAGGTAAATCGATACCTTTTCTTTGGAAAGTGGTGGTGCCTTTGATGTGTTGATTACCTACAAATCATATAATATTGTGAGACCTACCAAGATTAAACACACTAAAAAACTAAAATTCAAAAATATATACATATATATTTTAATCTAAACTTGTATTCAAATTAAACAAACCTTCTCATCCTTAACTATCTTTGTGTCAATGATACATACATCTGCTTCTTCCCATTCTGAGCAACTCTGTCTTAGCAGTTGCATCCTTTGGCCCTTTATTGTTCACTTTCAAAGTTTGTACTCGTGCAGCTGATGTGTTTATTACCTACGAATCAAAAAAATATTATGAAACCTTCAATAAAAACAAGATTAAAACACTAAACAAGTAAAAGTCAAATATACATATAGTGAAATTTTTACTCGTATTTTAACACACCTTCTCATCATTGGTTTCATTCCAAGATTGATCCATTTTAATGAATTCGATATCAGCTTCAACCAATTCAGGACAACTCATTTTCTTTGCAGTTGCATCCTTTGGTTCCTTGCTTTTCACTTTCAAAGATTTGGATTTACTACTGTGATGCAAGTTATGGCTTCTTTCCAATTGTTTCATTGTGGAAATACTTGAGGGTGATACAAACTGTTTTGACCTGATTCCTAAAAATTCACTCAATGAGAGTATAGGAGCTTTCTCCGGGGTAGTATATTTCGTACTTTCTCCCAAGTTAGCACTCAAAAGGAATTCAGGATTTGGCATAACCCTTCTAGACTTTCTTGGAGGAGCCAAATGATTTGGACCATCTTGTGGATTTAATTCTGTTGACCATCCCGTAGACAATATAGCTGGACCATCCTGTAGATTGGACGCATCCTTTTCCTGAGCAAGTCTTGGAAGTGAATCTGGTTCCATGGATAGAGATCCAGAAGAGAAGTACCTAAAATAACAAAAAAACCATACGTATTGGCACTCTTATACAATAAATCTTTTAGTCAAACAAAGCTAGATAGGTTTAGTTGATTCAAGTTACACTATATCAACTTTTCAGTAAATCAGTCTGGTTAGAGTATTTAAATTCAGAAAAAAAAAATAAAGAGCTTGATTGATGATCCTTGAATACCGAAATAATCTTTATCAAACATAAACAAAATCTACGATAAGTACATTCAGGAATCATCCCAAACCAGCTGCAAAATTCAGAATTACATTCGAAAAAAATCCCAAAACAGCTGCACAATTCAGAATTTTAACATTGACATGTTATGCTGAAATGAGTTTTTTGTTTTTTTTTTTATAAAAAAAAAACAAATTATGATTCCATGTAATGGTCCATTAAAATTGAATCTATTTATATTGAGCATACAATAGTTTCATGGAAAAAAAAACTTAACAAAAGTCTTCTTAATAGTGGGGAACCAATGTTCCAAATCAGTAGCTCACGCTAAAGTATTTAATGATTTTCAACAGGTCTTGAGAAATTTCAGAAATTTTTAAACCATATCCCTGCTTCATTATGAAACTTTGAAGAATCAGACAAAATTTGACACACAAGAAAAAACTCAATAACCTTAATCAAATAATGCTTGCAAACATAAAGAGCCACAACCATAAATTCACACAACCATATGAAGAGTACCTATGTTGTAATGCATGTTGTGCTGAAATCCTGGTTTCTGGATCATAAGTGAACATCTTTGATAAAAGATCCAAGGCATCATCAATAGCCATTGGAAAAAGTGTGTGGAGTGATTGCCTAGCAACATCTTTATATTCCAGAAAATGAGGCAAATACATCATTCCTAATTGCTGTGAAGGCTTTGGAGTTCCAAAAGCAGCAAAGATCTTCCCCAGTTGATCAATATCACTATTTCCCTGTAGCATGTTTGGTACGAAGAGAAGGTAACATGTTCAGCACGAAAAGGTCAAAACACGAATGCTTTTCAACCATGTAGTTGTTAACTTGTATTCAAGAAATTTCATTCCATCGACAAATCAACTTGACGTGTTGTATTATCTTCATCTTTCAATTCAAACAAGTGAAACAAAGCCATCCAAGATTTCAAGGTAAAATGGAGAAAAATACAACAAATGTCTACAAAAAGATTAAACATTGTCTTTCACAAAGGATTTGAAAATTAAAGAGAAGGAGGAAGGTAGCAGCTTATATACTTTTTTTAATCCAATTAGTTGGTAGATTGTAAAGAAATCATAAAATCGGGGCACATATATCTTTTAACTTCCACCAATGCAGTAAAGCATAATCTCAACCAATAAGTAATGCACGCTCATATTGCTTCTTGAATTCAAGCAAGAAGGAACGCTAACAAACTATTCATTTGAAAAACATAAAATAATTACTCATAACTTAAATAAGTCAATTAGATGGGCTATTACAAGCTATCCAATTTCTCAGGTGTTAGTCATTGTAATAAAATTTTACCTGCATGAATGGACGTCGCAATAAAAGTTCAGCAAATATACAAGCGGCAGCCCAAATATCCACGCTTGGACCGTATTGGTTTGAACCAAACAATAGCTCTGGTGCTCTGTACCAACGGCCAGATATATATACAAATGCAATTATATGTGCCAAAATTTAGTATTCTTCCATCTGCAGTGTTAAAATGTTAGGATAAAAAAATAACTAAAACTCTGCAAAAGGGTTTAGAGACAAGGAAAAATGATGCTTTAATGTTAACTCTGAATTTAGCACAAAGATGAATAAAAGGCCATATTGAAAGCACGTTTTGTAGCAAATCGTTCATTCTTTTAGCAAGATTTTAAAACAATGATAATCTAGCATAAACAGAGATGAATTGTATCAATAGAACTCGGGCAACGAGATTCAAAAATCTGAGGACATGAGCCTCCAAAATAGCTCAAACCAGGTTTTTTCGACTGAAATTTGGTGATCGACATGTCCTGTTTAAACTGAATTTTTGCATAGTCTATAACTCCGTTTTGAAATCCATAAAATCCACATTAAACTACAATAAATGAAGAAGAGTTCCAGGCAAAAAACCCCAGAAAAGAGTTCATGATCTAAGAGAAACAAGCCTGCTAACAGAGGGACTGAACCTGATTTTCCTGCACTTTTCAGGGATGATTATGTCATGTTCAAATCAGATTTTCGCACAATCTAAAAGTCCGTTTTATAATCCAAAAAAACCAAACTAAACTAGAGTAAATATAGAAAGACATTCATATAAATAAATTATATAAAAGGATTTGAAAAATAGGAGAACATGGATGCTCAACAGTCGGACTCAAATATGATTTTTTCAGAAAATATTAAGCAAACATGTCTCCTTTCCAATTACATGCGATCACTTCCAAACCAATCATAACTTCTTAGATCATTCATTATTCAATTCCATATTCTATGAAAAAATTTGAGCAACTGAAAATGGCAACGAGTCCAGGAATCAAACATTTAGCTAGCATACTTCTCTATGCCATTGCACATTACCAATTCACTTAATCAATTAAAATAATATAAGACTAGAAGCATCATCACTCTCATTCATCTTCCCTTTCTAAGGCAGATAACACGTTCATCTAGGGCACTTGATGGAAACAACAACAATTAGGATTTTCAACACTAAAAATAGTCAATCAATTACGGATAACACAATAACAACAACCAACATCTATCATTCTTTTATCTTTTCATTTCCTCTGTTTTATTACCTTGGCCATAGGCCTCCCCTCCACCTTTAAAGAATGAAACGTACCTGGTGACCAAAAATCTTGTCTGGACTTCCAAATATCCTAGCCAAGCCGAAGTCGGCAAGCTTCAGCTGTCCGCGAGGTCCAATAAGTAGATTATCTGGTTTTAAATCCCTGCAAAAAATGAAACCTGATTACAATAAAAAATTTAAGAAGAACCTTGCTGACCCAACATTAGGAATGGACTTCAGAAGAAACTTACAAATGTAGAATTCCTTTCTTATGGCCGGATGCCAGCCCTTTCAAGGTCATCTGAATATATGACCTAAAATCAGTTGCCGAAAGCACAATATTACGATCACGAATTACACCCCCTAAATCTTTCTCCATGAACTCAAACACAACATTCAAACTCCCTTTATGAGGAAAAACATCAATGAGCTCAATTATATTCGAGTCCTCGAGCTCTTTCAACAGATTAATTTCCTTAAGATCCGTGATTTGAAACCCTTCTGTCTGCTTCCCGATCCGAATTTTCTTAATTGCCACTGTCTACCCTGTCTGCAACGTCAAATATATAATTTCCATTTTTCAGCAATTATATAATTAAAAACATATAAAAATGTTCATCCAAAACAAAGAACACCCAAATAATTTTCTATACAAGTCGATTTCTTTCAAGTACATTTACAAACATATTAACAGAATTACATAATTCATTGATTCCTTGGCATATGATTAAATTCTGAATTCTCATTAAATTCATTTGTGAAACAACAAATGCACCACTATCCAGTTTGGGATGCACAGTTACAAAGCCTCTGTCCTTTGGAATTTCAACAAGAACGAGCATCAACATCTTTACTGTCTCAGCCATGTACAGGTGTATGAAATACTAAGTTACAAATTCACATTTTTTTCAAAAAAAAAAATATTACTACTGTATCTTTAGCTAATGAAATCAATTAATAGGATTTTACACCTTGCAGGTTTGGATAGGGGAAGCAATGTAAAGGTAGAGATGTGAATCAGAAAAGATGACGAAATGCCTATTATGAGTTGAGTCACTAACCCTGATTCATTTCCTCAATTTTAAGTACATAAAGTAAACATTGTATGCCTGCCAACTAAAGTATAATCATAATTACAATATAAGTTCCCTGCTGCAACCTGGGAATGTTAGATTATAGTTATCAGTAATTCTGGGGAGCTATATCAAAATACCAAATAATAAGATTATTCTATGCATTAAGACATAATAGTAGATTGAGAGCTTGTGTGGACATAATCTTATTTTGTATCTAATCAAAATACTTCCAAATCCAATACAATTGTACAAGAAACATAAGAAAACAAAAAAAAACCTTAAACATCAAAATAAAAAGAAAGATGAACATCAAATAAAAATTCAGAAGAGCAGATTGTACCTTAGTGTCGAATGCTTTGTAAACAACACCATATGTGCATTCACGAAGGACTTCCTGTTTAAGGTAACGATCAAAAATCTTCTTGGTTTCCACCGCCAAAATTCTTATTGACAAATGTGCCCATTAACCTGGACGAGTGCATTAACTATTAGTCCAATCAAGGAAGGTTTAGTTCACATCAAAACTCCAAATACTTACTTCTTGAAAAATTAAAATTAAAGAATCATTGTGTCACACGCAAGATATACAACGGATTAATGGGAGCCGAAGTGAAGGAAGCAATGAACATCAATAGAAATTCATTCAAGTTTCATTCAAGTTTCAAAGGTTCAGAAATCAACAGAAATAAATCTCCTAAAACAGCACATCAAACCAGGATTTTTTTTACTTTAACTTTCAGATTTTAGGTCATGTTCAAATCCAAACCATAACTTCTTTTTACGAGCCGCTAAAATTGAAATAAACCACTTCAGATGTAATATATTCCCATGGAAAGAAACCTCAGAAAATAAATAAAATAATAGGATTAATTAACCCCTAAACAGAACATCAGAATCTGGATTTTAGACTTTCAGTTCAGACTTGTACTCTTCAAAACAAGTTTTCGGACAATCCACAGCTCTGTTTTGAAATCCGTAAAAACAGGAATAAACTATACTCAATGAGGAAGATATTCATATAAAAAAAAATCCTTGAAAAAGTTAGCGAACTAAGAGAAAAAGGTCTTGCAACAGAGGACTGCAAATCTGATTTCGGCACTTGCTAAGTATACATACTCTGCTTAAGCAAGTTTCTTGAGATATACATAGCTTTTCAAGTCATTAAAATTGTGAGAAACTATGATAGGTAAAGAGAGATTTCACAAAAAGAAAACAGAGAAAAAGGTTCAGAAATCAACAGAAATAAATCTCCTAAAACAGTACATCAAACCAGATTTTTTTTTACTTTAACTTTCAGATTTTAGGTCATGTTCAAATCGAGTTTTCTTTCAAACCATAACTCCTTTTTACGAGCCGCTAAAATTGAAATAAACCACTTAAAATGTAATATATTCCTATGGAAAGAAACCTCAGAAAACAAATAAAATAATAGGATTAATTAACCCCTAAACAGAACGTCAGAATCTGGATTTTAGACTTTCAGTTCAGACTTGTACTGGTCAAATCAAGTTTTCGGACAATCCACAGCTCCGTTTTGAAATCCGTAAAAACAGGAATAAACTACACTCAATGATCAAGATATTAATATAAAAAAAATCCTTGAAAAAGTTAGCGAACTAAGAGAAAAAAGTTCTGCAACAGAGGACCGTAGATCTGATTTTTGCACTTCCTAAGTATGTATACTCTGCTTCAGCAGGTTTCTTGAGATATACATAGCTTTTTACAAAATAACATAGGCACACAAAGAGCGTTTTACAAAAGAAACCTGAATATAAACGGCTAAAAGACATGAGAGTTGAGTTCTCCCAAACAGTATATCAAATCTGAATTTTGTACTCATGGGACTGAATTCTTATCAGCCATCATCTTTACTGCTAACTTTCTTTCAATGTAGGAACTAATGCTAATGTACTTCTGCCAAAAAAAGCCATTCAATTCATCAAAAAACACAACTTCGATATATACTGAAACTCAACACGATGATCCAATAAAATCAACAAGCTTTGTAATAATCCCATTAAAAAGGGAAAAGGAAAAACACAAGACACCGAGGCCTTCAATTTGATGAGCGAAAATTGAACCACAAAGCAAAGAAGCATAAGAAGCTCATCAAAAACACAACTTCGATGACCTCAGCTTCCACATAGTCGGATTGAATGTTTATAACAAAAATTTAGATGATCACTTACCAAATTGCCTCTAAAATTGCTTGCCCGCCTCAAATAGCTTCTCAAATTTAAGTAAAGATTTCTCCTTGCCAGCCTCTGAATTGATTGGATTCGGCTGCATATTAAGGAATTATATATAGAGAAGAGATGGAATGTCATTGTTACCATCACAACCGGAGTAGGAGAACGTGAGATCGTGCTCCGAAGTGTCGCCGGTGAGAGAGTGTTTCAGTTCGCAGTTTGAGAAATTTTTATTTTTCCTCCCTTTTAATCGGTTGTGTAGTAATTTAATTAAACAGTAATAAATCGGTCAAACCAGTACCATATTTATTTTTTTAATCAAGTGCATTTAGGCGTATGCCTTTATAATACACCTTTATTTTAATCTAACGGTTGGTAATTAATCTAATTAATCCTACGATTATTACCCTTAAACGGAACCATCCCGTTACGGGACTCTAGACGCTCCCACATATATATATATATATATTATATATATATTATATATATATGGGTATTACTTTTCGTAGTTGAGAAATTACTCACTTACGGTTCGTTTTGGACAATTTTACCCTGAACTCTTTTTTCTTCTCCAACATACACTAATTACATTAATTACAAATAAATTTAACTAAATTAATTGAACAATAACACAAAATATAAAACTAAAGTAATTATACAAAAAAATAATGATAATAAAAAAATAATATTAAAATAACAAAAAAATTGAGAAAAAAAAAGATAAGATAAGGGTGGCCGGGCGTCGGGCCGGCCACCTTTCGTCACCGGCCAACCTGGGCCAAAAAAAATTCAACTTTTTTTTAAAATTTTTTTGTCTAATTGTTATTATTTTTTTATATTTACTTTAAGTTTTATTTTTTGTGTTATATTTACTTATTTAATAACATTTTTAATTTAATTTAATTTATTAGGTATAATTAATTTATTTTAATAATTAGTGTAGATTAAATGGAGAAATTAGGTATAATAATTTTTTTATTATTATTATAATTTATTTGTTATATTCAAATAAAGAATACACTATATATTATATTTAAATTATATGATAAATACATTTTGAGTAGGTTTTTGTAATCAGGTATGGGGGATTTAGTTAGTATTAATTTGTAGGCTTTAATAATTATTGTTTACGTAAATGAATTAGTTATTTTTGTTATATTTTGAGTAAATTAATTACAACTAAATAACACAACATACACGAATTAAATTAATTATAAATAAATTTAACTAAATTAATTGAAAAATAACACAAAATATAAAACTAAAGTAATTATACATAAAATAATGATAAAAAAATAATATAAAAATAACACAAAAAATTGAAAAAAAAAAAGTATTGTCTAGGGTGGCCAGCCACCCTTTGAAGATTGGCCGGTTTACTCACCGGCCAACCACGAAGGAGTGGTTAAACCGGCCAACCTTCAAAGGGTGGGCCGATCACCTTGGGCAAAAATTGTTTTTTCAATTTTTTTAATTTTGTGTAATTGTCATTATTTTTTTATATTTAATTTAGTTTTATTTTTAATGTTATATTTACAGATTTAATCACATTTTTAATTTAATTGAATTTATTAGGTATAATTAATTTAATTTAATAATTAGTATAGATTAAATGCAGAAATTAGGTATAATAAGTATTTTATTATTATTATAATTTGTTTGTTATAATCAAACAAAGAATCCACTAGATGGTATATTAAAATTACATGATAAATATATTTGGAGTAGGTTTTGTAATTAGGTAAAAGTTCAAGGGCAAATTATCCAAAACGAACTGTAAGTGAGTAATTTGTAAACTGCGAAATTCAATTCAATATATATATTTACCTTTTTTTTTGGTACGAAAAAGGAGGCAAAAGCCTAGATTCTTACATTCCGGAGGTATGCCACCCCTAATACATCATGTTGCAGCCAAGGCCGGGCACCTAATGGAGGTGACACAAATCTTTGCAGACCAACCGGGCCCGAAACTGCTAAAGAAGCTAAATAATCGGCCACGAAATTCGCCTCCCGATAAACGTGGTCAAATTCTACAATCCAATCACGATGTAGTACTTCCCGAATCCCGCTTACAATCCTTGAATGAATACCTAATACTTCCTCGTTACCCTTCACCATCAGCACAACACTTGAGCTATCCACTTCCGCATTCACCTTCTTATATCCACTTGAGCTCTGCACCAGTAATGGTACAAAACCCGATCTTCATCATAAAACCCCCCAACCATCTACCATGGCAATCCCGAACAACTCCACCCGCACAGCCAACTCCTATGGATGGATCAACGCTGCCGTCAGAATTCACCTTCACTCAGTCAACCGGCGGCGGGATCCAGTGGATCCACCTTTCCTCCCACCCGACACAAGCTCCACGCATGGACTTCTCATATTGGGAAGCTCCTTTAATTCCCCCGACTACCTTCACAATCTCCGTCACACGATGTATTTCACCAACGTCCACCCCTTCAAAAATTCGCCGGTTCCGCCAGCACCATAGTCGCTAAGTTGTTACCCCAAAAAAGCAATCCCAATCCTCAGGAAAACCTTCAAACTTCCTATTAAGTAATTCCAAAACCATTCCTCCAGCTGCAAAGTGAAGAA